AAAAAAAAAATTACCACATGATCCAGCAATTCCAATTTTGAGTATATACCCAAAACAATTGAAAGCAGGGTCTCAAAGAGATACTTGCACACTAATGCTCATAGTAATAGGGCAGGAAGATAGACAGAAATGAGCAGGAGAAAGAAATTTAGCCCCATTAGAAAGCCCCTTCCTGCAGCTCCTACCTGGGTCAAGACCCCTGGCAGCTGCCAGGCAGGACTCCAGGCTTACACATACCTCTAAATCAAAGAGATATGTTAAGTCAGAGAACGGGGAACACATCCTGATTGTCAGGACCATCGAATCCTTTTTAGCCCAACAGGATTCCAGGTTTTCACACACCCCTAAGGGATGTGTTTTCTCATCCCCTCGAAAACAAGGGGATGTATTTACATGTGCCCATAAATAAAAGGAATGTGTTTACTCATGCCCCTGAATTAAAAGAAATGCATTGCTAAATGCCAGAGGACTAGGTACCTCAGGGGAGGAGAGATATAAGAAGGAAGTGGGGAGGCAATTCTACCCATAGAAATAAAAGCCTTCATGTAATCTAAGGCGGGGCTGCTTCCCTCTCTTGGGTCAGCCCTCTCCATGTCTCCGAGTGTACTCTCTTACTAATAAACTTCTGCTGCTCATGCTGCATAAATTTCTGTCTTTTGATTGAACTCATTCCTTCAAGAAGACAAGAACTGAGGTTTCCAACATCATTTTCAGGTAACAACAGTAGCACTGTTACCAGCCAAGACAGTGCCCCTCCCAAAGACTTTTAAGTGTTCTTTCCTATAGAAATGTTAAGTAGAGAAACATTAAGTCTCCTCCCTAGTTTCTTAGCCCCTGGCTTTGATTATCTTCTCATCAGCCTATGAATTCTAGGCTAAAGATTGCTCCTAGACTGAGACCTAGAATTCTCCTATCCCCTGCTTCTTGATTGCTTTGTAAATCAGTTTCTGAATCCTAAACAATAGAAGTCTCCTACCCCTGCTTCAGATAACTACTTGAAAGTCTGTGACTTCCTAATATCCCCCAGGCCAGTAAGCTAAATGCCAAACCCATTCTGGGACCAGACAACTACCACCTGAGTGACAGGCTGAATGGCCACAGGCTTCGTGAGAGCTAACAGATTTATTAATTAAAATCTATTTTTCCTCATTCAGGGACCTTGGTGATACAGAGGATACCCCAATAAGATTGCCAGTCACAACCAAAGAAGCCAATACTCTTCCAGGAGGAGCTCGAGACCCCTTCCTCTCATCTGAGATCAGCTAGGGTGAGAGTTCCGTGAATCCCCCAATGGTCAGGGACAGCTCTATGACCCTGCCCAGCAGGAAGCAGATACAGAAGAAGAGATCTCCTGTCCCTCAATTTCCCATAGAGATTTTATGGGGATCATGTCTCTTAAGGGGAAAACAAGGCAGGCAGTTAGAGGCAGGCATTGGGTCTCTGCATTCCTGCCTGTCCCACAGAGTGTGACTGTCAAGGGGACATCCCCTCTACACCCAAAACTCCCCTTTGTATTGTAATTACCTACCCCTTCGAGAAAACAAATGGGCACAAAATACCCAACTAGATTAGACCAGTTACTCGCACCTGGGCTATACCTCTTGTCAATCACAGGTGCCAATCAAGTGGTCCCATGCCATTAGGGGAACAGTCCATTCTAGAGAAAGGGGATAAAAACTCCAAGTCCTGGGAAGTTCGCCCTGCTCTTTTTGACCGCTTCCTCCCTTTTTTGAGCCTTTTGAGCCTTGCCTTTGCTTGTGGCCCGCTCCAAACTCTTTGGAATGTAATTTCTCTTCTAATAATGTACTGAAATGTACTATCTCTTCAAATAAACTACTTTTCAGTACTTGACTCCAGCATCTCGTTCAATTCTTTGCTCAAGTTGCCAAGGACCTGGTCTTTGCGCCTAGAAGGGACCATTCCCCGACAACAGGACTTCTGGCTTTGTAATGTTTACAACATAGATTGGAGATAAAACGCCTAACAAATGCTAAATGCACTTTAAGCACTTCCCTGAAAGTAATGTCTAAATAAATACAGTTATCTTTTTCTTGTCTAAACCCTGGGCGCTCCAAGAGAATAAAGACAATTTCTGTCCTGTTGATTTGGTAGGGCCTAGTTAAGTTTTCAGTGAACATTTGTTGATAAATGAATGCACATTTAAATAGATACATGTGTTCTGGATAAAGATGCTTCATGGGCCGGCCGAGTGGGGCGTTGGTTTAAGAGTTGGCTTGGGACGCCAGAGGGCCCCGGTTCGGATACCACATATGAGGGCCAGTGACACTGCCCTCTTCAGCTAAGATGCTGAACAACAGCTCAACCTGGAGCTGGGCTGCCGGGAGTCGCCAGTGATGGTGTAGACTGCAGCCCCTGTTGCAGTGGGTTGCCATGGGCTACCATGTGTAGCCAGCAGCCAGCGTGAGTGGCCAGAAGCCGCAGTGAGCAGCTATCCAGAAGCCGGCGACTGATCTGCCTCACCCGGGAAGAGCGCAATGATGGTGCCAACTTGGGCCAGTGAAGCGACAACCTCCACAACTAGACTGAAGAACAAAAGGACAGCAACTTGTCTGTTCCCCTTCCCCCAATTCTCCAGCGCTGTTCCCATCCTTCAATTCTTCAATTAAAAAAAATAAAATAAAGATGCTTCAAAACAAACAACAACAACAAAAAAACCAAAGTGATACACTGTGAGTGCTTCATGAAGATCTAGAAAACTGTCCAGATCTTCCCTGTCCATGTCCTCCTGGTTCTACATTTTATAATGGAAAATGTTTCAGCTTAGTTGTACATAATAGAAGTGCCACCCTCTCTAAGCTTGTGGATGCTTTCCTGATTTACGCATTTCCTGGTTTCCACGGGCAAATCAAAGGACAACATGACTAAATATGGACTACAGGAAATTAAATAATAAAGCCTACAAAGTTAATTAGACCAGTAACCAACCTGTTAGCTTTTAAACAATATATGAACACCAATATTTCATCCAAATGACCTGTCAACAGACATTTTCATTCTCTTTCCAGGAAGGATCTGAAGTGGCTTATAAGAACATATAAAAAAAGGGAAATTAAAGCTTCTTTTTTTTTTCATCAACAAAATAAGGATACTGTTACCATTTTGTAAGACAATTTATTCTCTAAAAGATGAGACAATCATTTCATGAGACAAGAAAAGGTACTTAGTAACTGTAAGTTCCCTACCCCTGTTCCTTTCTTACCCTAGACTGTGCTCAAATCGATTGTGTGAAGCTCCTGGGAAAACGTAGTAAGTGCCTCCCAACTGTTTAATGTAGCGAAGCCGCTGAAATTGAGGTGTGTCGATGATTCGGATGAGGAGAGGATGGAGGTCAATGTGGCCATGGACAGGATCATTAATTACCTGGAAAATTACATTTAAATTAATATGCATAACAATACTAACTCCATCTAAAATTTTTGTGCAGTAAGAATACTACTAAGGGAAATGGCAAGATTTTACCTAGTTGAGTTTTTTTTTTTATTTTATTTTTTTTAGCTGAGCCATCCTGCCACCTGTTGGCAGCTCAGCGGCTGCTCAGCTCGGGCAGGGATTCGAACCGCTGTTGCTCAGAGCTCAAGCTCTTGAGTGAGCTCTTAACCAACTGAGCCACTCGGCCAGCCCAAGATTTTAATATTATCATAAGATAACATCATTATCTTATTTAGGTATCACTACCAGACAGATGAAGTACATTGGATCTGGGTATATTTCATGTCTTCCTAATGGATTCTAATAACAGGAAGATAAAGATTTCAATCTTTTTAGTATGTATATGATTTAATTAGCCTTTAACAAGTTAGTCTTGTATTCAAGTTAAACATATTCCTTTAACACAGTCATTCAGATCATATGAGCCATATTAGTATCAGCACTGTGTCTAATTGTCTAATTTTTTTTCTAAGTGTTTCTATATAATACCCATCACTAGAATCCTTAGAAAGGTAGGGAAGGAGAGAGGGGGAAGGAGGGAGGAAGAAAGGGAGGAAGGAAAAAAGAAAGAAGAAAGAAGGAAAGAAAAATTGCAGGCAGGAAGACAAAATTCTATAGTACTTAATGTCACTCAGAAATGCTTCCTTATAAAGATAACTTTCACAATTATGTATTCATTACTCTCTAAGTTTAAACAGGGGCCTTACATATGGGTGAAGATTTAATGCTCCTATTTTTTTAAGTAAAGATACATCTTTCTTAACTGTCCATAACTGCATTTTAAAGGGAAATATACAGAATAAAAAAGGCTGATAAATAATTTAATCCATGAGTTTTACACATTCTCCCCATGTCTGCGTGGGTTTTCTTGGGTACTCCAGTTTCTTCCTACATCCCAAAAACGTGCACCTTGGGGGAAATGGCATGTCTAAATTGCTCCAATCTGAGTGAATGTGGATGTGTGCGTGTGAGTGAGCCCTGCGACGGAATGGTGTTCTGTCCAGGGTTGGTTCCCACATTGCCCTGAGCTGCCCAGACAGGCTCCAGCTTTAACTGGAATAACCCTTAATTGAAATAAGCAGGTTGGAAAACCATTCTCTTACTTCTTTCTATTAATCTTTCTTAAATGTATGTATAGCTCACATTTATTTCAGTATTTATTATTAGAAATGTTTTGAGTCCTTATTTAAATGTTTGGTGATATTTCTGTGACTAGAAATATGCCATAGGAAATTAACTCTTGTTTATATCAATTAGTCTTTGGTAAACTGGTTTCTTATGTCATTCCACTTAAAGTGGCAGTTTCCAAGGAACTACTAATGACATTAAATGAGGGCTTACTGTACTGGTCTATTTCTTCCCCTTTATACAAGATCAATGTAACAATCACAAACAAATGAGAATCTATTTTATTGTTAAAAATTATCAAAGAAAAATTCTACAATCTACTATTAATCCATTTATTTTATTTTACTTATTTATTATTTATGTATTTATTTATTTAAAGACTTTTACTGGGGAATTGGGGAAGGGGAACAGACAAGTTGGTGTCCTTTTGTTCTTCAGTCTAGTTATGGAGGGCGCAGCTTCACTGGCCCATGTTGGCATCATCATTGCACTCTTCTCGGGTGAGGCAGTAGCTCACTGGCCATTGGATGGCCGTCACAGCAGCTCGCGGCAGCTCATGAAAGCTCATGCAAGCTGCTGGCCAGCCCCACTGTAGCCTACGCCATTGCCGGCGAATCACGGCAGCCCAACTCCAGGTCGAGCTGTTGTTCACCATCTTAGCTGTAGAGGGTGCAGCGTCACTGGCCCTCATGTGGAATCCGAACTGGGACCCTGCTGCTCAGAGCTGGTGTCCCAAGCCAACTCTTAACCAACGCGCCACTCGGCCAGCCCTATTAATCCATTTAAAGTTCTAAAAGTCTTCACTGTCAATTTCTCAAATGTAATAACTGTTTGTGTGTGTGTGTGTGTGTGTATGGCGGGGGGTAATAACTGTTTTTAAAACATTTGTTTCACCCTAAATTTGCTACAAAATAAATTTAAGCAACTTTATGAAAAAATAACTTAAAAATTATTTCAACTTAATATCATAATATATATCCACTCTTTTTCATGTCAAAAAATACATCATGAGCACTTCCTCATATTATTACAAATCTTAATAATTATCATTGTAATGGTTCCATTTCATTGATGAACCAACATTTTAAAACCATTCCCCTCATGTTGGGCAAAAAAATTGCTGGAAATTCTAGTTACATTATTTCATATTCCCTTCCTAATTCTTAATGTGTACATGTGATATTCAAGTGTTTTGATTATTGTTTACAATCTGTTATTTTTGTTCTCCCAGTATTATTTAATATAAACTGCTCCTTTACTTTTCACATGGTCCACCTGTCCGTTTCAAAGGCGATTTGATATTCTATCGTGTTAGTAGTCAAGCTAGATGAAACAATCCTATTGTCTATTAAGTGTCTTTGTCTTCTGTATATGTCAAGCAATGGGGATTAGAGATGAGTAAGCATCATTCCTGCCCTCCTGGAAAGATTAATAGAATCTGTGTTCACAGAGTTGGGGAAAGAGAATGGGGGAAAGGAAACAAAAGGCGTGGTCAGTTCTACCCAGAATAAAGGGAAGAGGAAGCCATCAGAAAAAGATTCAGAGGTAGTAATTATATAACACATATTAGGTAAGAGAAAGTACATAAAACAGGCATTTCACTCTCTTAAGATTCATTAATATGTTTGACAAAGTAGTGTCAGGAAATGCAGGAAACACTGTATTTCCTCCTCATGGCTATACAATTCCTGGCTTCTGAAAACCAAATGAACTCAATTTAGTATGATGAAAACAGTCAAGAAAAAAGGTTGTGACTTTGAGATAGGCAATGGTTTCTTAGACACCAAAAGCTCAAGAGGCAAAAGAAAAAAATAAATAAACTGGACTACATCTAACTTTAAATATTTGTGCTCCAAAGAACACCACCAAGAAAGTAAGAACGACAATCCAGAAATGGGAGAAAATATCAGCATATAATGTATCTGATAAGGGATTCGCATCCAGAATATGCGTATACGAAGAACTCTTACACTTTAAATTAGATTGTGGTTGATGACTGAACAAAAACCTTGTGGACTTTCTAAAAACAGTGACGTGTATATTTTAAATGAGTGAATTGTAAGGTGTGTGAATTATATCTCGCTAACCTGTTATTGTTTGTTTGTTTTGTTTTGTTTTTAAAGAATAACATGCGCTATCACATTAGGGTATAGAACGCACTTCTGGCACACTAAGTGAGGAAGACGGCTGTGTCCCAGCAGCAGGCTTAGGCGGCTTCCTCCACATGGCCGGTGGCCCGGGTAGGCAGCAGCAGCTGCAACCACCTACACAACTGGTGGGGCCTGCCCTGAACGAGCTTTTGCAGCAACAGCAACCGGACTTCCACCTCGTGCAGTGCTGTAAGACACTCATCGCTCAGCGGAAGAACAGTCTTCAGGCTTTGATGAAAGTTGCAGCCTAGAACCTGATTCAGAATACTAACACTGACAACGAACAAAAGAGCAGTGACAGACCCATACAGAACTTTGACAAGTATGTCTGGAGGAGTTCTATGCCATGTGACCGGCTGGAGCTCTGCCTGTGCTTGGCACATGAATGCCTGTTATAGGGTTGCAATAGTGCCAAGCACTCTCCGACGCGGGTGCCCATAGCCACCAAGCCAGGCGCGGTGCAGCCTAACAGCCTGCCCTACCCACAGTACCTGGCAGTCACCAAAGCCCAGGCTGCCAGTGCCAAGGACATTCACACCGTTCTGCTGGACTGTGCCAACAAGGTCACGGGCAAGACTCTTGCACCACATAGTAGGCCCTGGGGGTGCCCTGTGAGCTGGCAGGGCTGGGAGTGGGGCAGGCTGGGAGTGGAGCAGGCTGTTGGGGAGGGGGAAAGGGAAGGAAAGAGGAGTGGCCTCAAAGCCAAAAAAAAAAAAATTAGGGTAGGAATCAATTCTTTGTTCAACTGTACTGGTAGTGAAACGAAGATCATATAAGGTATCAATTTCATTATTATATAGTGACTCACTGACTCAGACTTGGTAGATTTAAAATCTATTCTCAACAACTATAATTTAAAATTTATAAATGAGGGCTGGTCGAGTGGCACGTTGGTTAGGAGTTGGCTTGGGATGCCAGCTCTAAGCAGCAGGGCCCCGGTTTGGATCCCACATGAGGGCCAGTGATNAAAAAAAAAAAAAGAATGGATCCGACAAAGTAACTGAAGGAAAAAACAGCAATTTGATTCAACAAGAAGGATAAAAGAAAAATCAAATTCACATTATCCTAAACAGAGCAGAGTCAGAAAAGTTCACTATCAGGAAGTCCTTTCATATAACTTGTAGCAACGATGTTTCACATGGGAAATTCACTGAAGGGCTCAAAAAAACACAAAAACAAAAAAACCCCAATGCCTTGATCTTACGAATCATTCTAAGAAGAAGCAATGGCACATTTATGTTAATGTTAACTAAAGGATTAAAACACAACTTTCATATTTCTCTTGGTTAGCTGAAGTTTTTAATTTCAAAGACAGGTAACATGTTATGATTTTTCATGACTGTTTTGGCTCTTTGTATGGCTTACCAAGATCATGACACAGCCCAGCAATCTGAACACAGAGAATATCTCGTTCACTTATCTCCAGCTCTGGTTGTCTTTCACTCAGTGTGCGAAGTAGACATCCTGCTAGATGCCCTACGCTGCAGAGCAAAATAAATAAATAAGTCGCTATTTTGTTTTCAAGATAAATGATACTTCCGGTCCTCAAGAACTTCAATGTTTCTCTAAGGTTGTAAGTTTCTCACAGGTTGTAATAGATCTTTAGGGCAATTTAACAGAATGGTCTGTTTTGGAACTAGGCAGGAACACACA